TTATGGCTACTGCCATATTTGGATTGATGCAGTGGCCGCTGGACTTAGCGTCACTTATCTGTCACTGTGTCTGATACTCTTCGGAGTAATTGTACCTTGGAAGAGGCACTATTTCCAGGTAATGCTTTGTATTTCCATTTTTTAATTAATAAAGACGCTTTCTCCTAGAATTTTGTCCTTTTTGAATTGGTTGGGACCCGGAACTGGGAAAAGCGTACAGGAGTGCCCCTATTGGAACCCATTGGAACGGCCACTGTAGAAATTCATTTACACCCTCCAACCAAGTATTTCGTGCCATTCGAGTGGAAACAATATCAACATGTTGTTTGTTTATTACAAATAGGCGACCAATGTCATTCTTCTATTTTATAGATTCCTGGAGCAAAAAACTGCAAACGAACAACCAAGACAAACAGGAGTCCAAAAATGGCCGAAAATAATAATTCAAACAAGTTCGTGAGTTAAGTAAAACAAATATACCCAAAAAACAGTGAAATTAATGATATTTATATAAAGGTTTTAATCAGCCAAATGTCTTCATTTCTCCCGTAACACATGTCTTGTGCCTGAGGTAGTTGACCGAGTTTAACTATCAGTTTTGTGCGTTCATTTTGGCCTCCCTGCTGTTGTCTCAGAGATCTAGGTCGGCTCTCGAAACATCTGATGTGGCTAGGCAGATCGTTCCTCGAACTGTACCAAGCTTGTAGTGTTTCGGTCAGGTCTTCCCGGTTCCTAAATGTTACAACAATCAGGCGTGGTGACTTGATAGACGTATGGTGTGACGGGTGGGTCAACCTAGAAATACAAACAGCCATAGTGGTGTGGAGGGACAGGCTATGCGATAGCCATCGCCACTGTTGCACATCGTGCTCGTGAGCTTCGTCGGGTTACCGCTGGTGAGTTCAGGTATACCGTGAACTACAATTGTGGTCTGTTCTTAGGTGCCTGGCGCAGTTGTGGCTGCTGCACGTACCGACCACGGCTTGTCATGCCTGATGCGAATCAGCGAGGACACTTTGACCGGTGGTCTTCGGGATGAAAGGACAATGTCTTCAGCAAGTCGTGCCGAGTCAAGAGTTACCCTCATTGGAGAGGGTTTTCCTTTCGAGACATTTTGGCCTTTGAAAAGGTGGCATATTTCGGCTGGGACGTCGCACATTCCGAGGGTTGAGCAGAGTTTATCCCACTGCTCTTTGTCGAAGGCAGCCCTACCTTCTGGCAAGCATTCTCCCGGACACTGGGACATTAAATAAAATGACTTAGTTTGATCTGTCGTCCCTGTTCTTGGGTGGTAGCCGCTTGTGAGTTGGGGTGTTGCTATTTCCCTTCTTCACGTTCACCCACTGTTTTGTATTGCTAGCAGATACTGGGGGGTTAACAACAACCGGCAGTTTTGTCGGTGTGTTAGGCAGAGTTGTGGTAGCCTTTGTCACTTGTTTTGCTGGTTTAGTGTCAGGCGATTTTGGTTTGGTCGTTTGGACTTCAGGGCTGATTTTAGGTGGCTTTGTCATTGCCACAGAAACTATACACCGAGGGCAAATGTACCAGAACCATGGGCAGGGGTGACTCAGCATGAAACCGTGGTACTCTTTAGGTACTGTATTGTCGCAGTGACAATGTACCCATGTACTGCAGAAGTTGCATTCGAAAGCATGGTCGCTGGTTTTGACTGGTGATGAGCAGGCAATACAGTCCTCCTTATGCTGCTTCTGGGCGTTGGACTGTGTCGACCGAGCCTTGAAAAGTCTTTTTCTCCTATTCTTAACTAACTTACAGCTCTTTTTGGGAATAGGAGTGGCGTCTTGCTTCCTCTGTGGTGTCTGAGTTGAGTGATCTAAAGTATGGGCACTGAGGGGCGTACTATCGACAGACTGTTTGGGTTTTTTAGCAACCCGTCCGCACGATATTGGGATTTTCGATGCACTATCGACCCCGGGGTTTATGCCACTATATGTTTTCCTGGTTGTTATAGTGTAATGTGTACTAGCGACCTCATTAGTTGACATGATACCAGAGAGATTAGGAGGTAAATACCGAGATAATTAGAATACGAGATACACAAAAAAGGGATTTAGGAAAGAAGAAATTTAGTGGTGTATAATGAAACTACAAGGAATAGAGCCTGAAAGTACTCCAAAATTGCAACTTTACCTTTGACCGTATTAGTAAGTAACTTTGCGTGTATCCAGTGACTTGTCTAAACGTTCTGTGTTTGTAAGTGAGTCGATGTATGTATGCTGCTGAAGCAACTAGAAATAGAGCAGTTGAATGAGGTAGCTAGACCTACCGCCAAATTGTTCTGACTTGGGATGGTTCCATATGCCCGAAAATGTCTTCAGATTGTCAACCAATGAATTGAGAAAACTTTTTATAGTTTTGGAGTTGATAAAGTATCCCGAAAGTGGATTGTTTCCCTTAAATGGAAGAGAGTCAGCGAGGACACGTCTTTCAATACCCAATAGCGATTTTGCTATTTGATTTCTTTGCAATCACTTCTTGTAGTTTCGATATGATTTCAAGTATTTTTATATGTCCGATGGAGGATAGTCCAGCCACTCAAATACAGCAGCTACCAAATTACAAGGTCGGGGATCATATGGTTTCAATGTGGAGAATATTGAGCAGAAAATCGCAATAGTAACAAGAGTTGGAAATTCTTAGTGCTACGTGAACGATTCAATATGTTAACTGACTGGCTCTAAAGATTGTGTTTGAGGACCGAAGTGTAATCAAGGACGAGGAATCAGAGATAGTCAGCGATATTATATCAGTGATCTGCGGAAACGACAATGATAGCAACATGCTTACTTTGAGACATGTGTCAGGCATAGCATACTCAAGAGAGAGATGATAATCCGCATTTAAGAACTTGTTTGTCAGGTCTCTTCTTTAAGCTGTAGCGAATCCACTTAGCGAACCAGACGCAATTGGTTTAGCAGAAACATTCATTATTTTAACTAATTGGACGAGTGATTGTTTTACTGAACCTATTTGTTTTTAACGCGATACGCAAAAACCTTCGGTTTGCGTTGAAGCCATTTTGGCTGCACTGTCTCCGTAATTTCGCCCCGCTCTTCTGACACGATTTCGAAATCGTTTCGATACCACTAAATCGCCAGCAAATATATTCACTCATATGGAATAATCATCCTTATCTGTGACGGGCTTGAAATTTATATGTGGTGGTGGTCATAGTCAATTTCGACTCAATTGTTACCACAAAGCTATGCACTGAATATGCTATAGTCACCGCGTCTTTAAGAGTATTCCGAATTGTGACTACTCTTAATGAGAAGATGTAGGCACGTATCCGGTGTTCCCTCTTCGGAGTGCAATTTTACGAGGGTTGTCTCGAGCTGCTTGGTGTTTGTATTTTGGCAAGATGTTCTTGTTAGGTTGATTCGGCGTCTTTAACATGTTGCATTCCATTATGAGATCACCTCTGATCCCCTCTTACTCAGTACAAACAATAGCTAGCTCTTTAGCCTATTTTCTAAAGGTTTATTCCTTAATCCTCTCACCCATTTGGTTGCTTACCTTTGCAATCGATCAAGGAAATTTGTTCCTCTATTAAAGAAAGGAGGTGCGACGAAGTTGTAAATTTCAAGGAGTGACCATGAATAAGTTTTTACAGAGAGTTAAAAACAGTTATGTACTAGCTGTACCAAGATGTCTTCTCATAAACTGAAATGTAGCGTTAGCAATGGCTTCATTCCCTCACGTACTTTCAAGTGGTGTTTAGGTGTTTTTTTGTTATTAGATCAAGTTCGAGCACTGAACAGACATAAAGGGGTGGATTTTCATTAATGATGCAAGCTGTGTACGTCACGTATGGTAGAACGTTCATAGCACAACATTTCGACTAGTTAAGTTTTAAGCAGTTTTTCACTGCCCATTCCTCAACTTTTGTAATGAGCTTTTAAAGCTCAGTTGAATCCTTCTAGCTTCATATGAACTGTCAGACCTTCGCTTTGTCTGAGTATATTGGTGCCGGTGAATTAGTTATACAAACAGTTCGTTACTGAATATCAGGAAATAGAGTGGTACTTAGATGGCAACCTGTGGAACTCACGAAGTTGGTTCTCACAAGACTGCGTGCTCTTTATTTACTCTGATGCGAATCTTTCAATTCTCAATGTAGTTTCTAAGCCAGGATAGAAGTGGACCAATGAAGCCCGTCTTCTCAACCTTTGCAATAAATACGCAAGGTACTTTGTCAAGGAGTCAAGGAGTATCATATAGAACGGTAATTCTCGACTCCAGTAGTTTGTCCAGTGTCCCCACGCTATAGTAAGGTTGGTGGAGCTTCACCTGACTTTTCTAAACTCGGCTTCCGCTTCATGGAGGATGTGGTTCCTATCCATGTACTCCGTCATTTGCTCATTCACCAGTCCACCCATAACCTTATAAGGCTTTGGTAGTAATGTGACTGGTTTGTGGCAGGCTGAATTCGTACTATCTCCAGTGAATGCCTGGACAATTAAATTATCGGTGAACTGACGACTTCTGCACACTGTTATGAGACTCTAGTACGAATATTAACGCGTTCGAACGACTTTTCGAGGCTCATGAATTTTGATTAGTGGAAGAATTACTGGGCCATCAAGTGTCACAATGTTTGAGCATTAGAGTCAATGTGTAGCTATTTGGTTTAATTGGCCAGTGAAGTTGGTGTCGAAGATCTTAGTCGTTCCTAGGTTAGTAAAATCTTCGCTATTTGGACCTCTGAGTGAAAAATCTCCCTGGTTTGCTGGTTTTCATTTAGTTGCGAACAAATTCAGACTGTCCTCTTGCGCCATTCTCTTCTTTTTGCCTGCCGCAAGCGTCCAGTTTCTCGCTCAGCCTATGAACTCTTTCCAGATAAGTGACTTCACGGAGGTACGTCGTTTAGAACAGAATTCAGAATTACGTCTGATACTGTTCGCTAGTGACTATGTACTGCTAGCCCGACCATTTTCATGACCACGGGCGTGTAGAAGATAGTATCTTATAGACAGGTAGTTTGTCTTAGTGTTACAAAGGTAGGATCAGTTTTCATCTCTGATTATTTGTTTTTTGGCAATGTTCAGCATGACTGTGCCGTGGTGATTACCTCCTATTGGTGTCTGAGCATGAACATTTCACACCAGGAGCTGATCATTTATTAACAATTAACCGAAGTATTAGGATTGTCCACTACCTCTGCATTTATAGCTTTACGCACATTCTCAATCAGCCCAGAGTTTCTAATGGCTGTAAAAAGTCGAATTTAGTACCAGTCTGTTGAAGTTTTGCTCTGTTTGCTTATATTTAGAGATGGAGGGTTGATCTCCATAGCTGACAGTATTCAATCAAACTTATGGAACGTTAGTTGCAGAATTACTTCAGTCAGGTTGTATTTCAGGGATTTAGTACTTGGGAGGTCGACAAACCCCTCCAATCAAGTACTTTGCACCATTCGTGTTGAAGCAACACAAGCATAATTCTAAGGCGTTGGTTAGTACCGTGTGTTATTATTTCTTTCAAATGGCTGTTAATATATATCCCCACTACACTTCGAGTTTAATACACCTGCCTAACAGTTTCTACACCTTCCTGGTTTACTGAAACTTCGTGTTCATCGCAATTTTTTAGTACATAATGCACCTTTGGACTAAATACTGAACAATAAAAAATTGGCCTTCTCAATAATCGTGAGTTTATAGCGCGTCACATAAATGCCAGTTTCCATGGTGTTCATACCGTTCATTCGACTTTTTTAAATAGCCAAATATTTGATTTGGATTTTCGGACTCCAATGTCTGATTTATTGAAATATGAGAAAATTGGGAATATTGGGGAGGGAGCTTTTGGAAAGGCGATACTTGTATTGTCAAAAGCAGAAAATATACATAGAGTGATGAAAGAAATCAATATTCGCAAAGTACTTTATACAGAACTGATAATTGATTCTTCTACTTAGATGTCACTCAAGGAACGGGAAGAAGCCCGAACAGAGGCAAGTTTCTTATTTCAAAGTTTTTTGTATGTCTATATTCTTATTCCCCACCTCATGACTGAGGAAACACTGGATTTCGTGGAAATTTCGGGTTTTCTCTAGGAAGGTTTTGATGATTTCTTAAATACCAGTCGAAATTGTAGGGGAAAAACACAGGCTTGATGAAGGTTTAGGGCTTTTGGTTTCATTTACGATATGAAGTCTGTCATATAATCAGTCGATCATTTCATGGTGAAACTAACTTAGATTTTTTTGCTCATGTTTTTTGCAACTGACTGATTTTGTTTTACAAATTGACTTGTTGTGACACAACATGTTTTCATTGTCGGGTTAGGAACGATACTTCATCACTCCACTTTATTTATTTAAATTTTTCAACTAAAAGACTAGCTTTAAGACAATTGTTTACTAAATAAGTGTTCATCGCCCTTGCTTATTGACTGAAGTCTCATCCTCTGATGTTGTAGGGCATAAATTGCATGCATAACAAGTGAGAAGCAGTTTATTAACTATGTCATATGTTAATAGAAGTAAAAGTTTTGTGTACTACTGCCCGTTTCAGCAACTTAATTGTCCTGCAAGTGGAGAATGGCAAAAAAGTTCCTATAAGGGAATGAAAAAAGCGCTAGACTTTGGATCACTTATCATTAGGACTATTTCACTTAGGTGGCTAAGAAAGCATTACTGGATGTAATTCAAGATTCAGAACTGCCTCCTAACACTAAGATACAATTTTAACCGACCAAGTCGCCTCAACCCACTCACTTCAAAAATACTGAATACTATCAACTATTCCAGATTCCATCTAAAATCATAGATTTTTACTTTTTTACAATCTGAATAAACCACTCTATAATGTTATGTTTCTTTGAGAAAGTTTTTCCCTTCATGTTTCGTTTTTCTTTGTACTGAATAGTAGAATAAATTTATATATATATATATATAAATATATATATATATATATATATATATATATATATATATATATATATATATATAGAATTTTGTGAATGCTCAGTAATTTAAATCTCATAATGATCAGAATTATGAAGACACTTTCTAATAATGAATATTATTGAATACCTATCACAGAGTGATTTTAAGTAAAGAAGCTCTTAAACCTATTGAGAATTAAATAACTTCAAAAACTAGTCGGTAATGTGAAACAATAATTCGATTTGACATTGACAAGAATCTTTCATTCATAAGTATCAGATCTAATGAATGTTTATACCTGACAGTCATGTTTCTAAGCATTCTTCGGTTTTTGTTTAGTTCTCTTTTATGAAAAATCTCCGATGTTTTTTTTAAGAAAAAGGCGTTTAAAGTAAAAACCTGGTATTATAGCCTCCATTTTAGGCATGATATTTTAGGTAGCTTAGTCATCGATTACCAGTTACAGATTAGACTGTTATCTTTGACTACTGGATGTATTTGTGGACTGAAACTTAATAATATAAGCCAAGGTCAATTCATATTAAACCTGTTTCCTGAACAATGTTTATAAAACGATACTCCAGAGTTATACTTAAATAACCATATTAATCTCAAAGTTATTCATAGACGATCAGTCTATATGAATTTTTGGCTTGTAAGGTATTGAAATTTGATTACATTATAGATGTCTTAACTGACTTTTGAGCAAAGGCCGTCAACTAGCATTCTCCGACCCATACTTTCATGGGCCTCAATTTCCAGTTCTACTCAATTACTATTCATTATTTTCATGTCTGTTTCCAATTTTCAACGTAATATATTCTTCGGTAATCCTCTTTTATTTTGGCTTTGAGGAATCTAAGTTTGGGCTTGCTTTGTGATGCACTTGGGTACTTTTTATAATGTGTGTTCTTCCACCTTCAGATTTGTTTACCTAATTTCTTCCTCAGCCTGAATCTGGTTTGTTCCTTCACACAGTTGGTTGTTACTGATGATATCTGACAAATGGATCCTTAGTATCTTGCGCTGACAACTGTTAGTAAACACCTGTATTTTAAAAATGATAGCTTTCGTGATTCCCCAAGTTTCAGCTCCATACAGTATAATTGTCTTAACATGTGTGAATTTTGTGGTGGTTGATAGTTGGTTTGACCACTTGATGTTCTTCGACTGTAGAACTGCTGCAACTTCTTTGCTAATCCGTGTCATCACATCTTCACCAGATTCACCTTGTTTGTCAATAATACTTCCCGTACATGTAAACGTTTTCACGTCTTCCAATGCTTTTCCATCAAGTGTGATTCGGTTGGTGCATGTAGTGTTGTATCTAAAGATATTGCTTTTTCATTTGTGTATTTTGAGGCATATTGTTGCAGGGGCTGCTGATTCACTGACCATCTAAATTTGTTCTTGTGTGTAGGTTAAGAAAGCTCGATTATCTGCAAAGTCAAGACCGTCCAACTGCATATCAGCTGTCCACCGTATTCCATGCTTCTTCTGAGATTTTGACTTCTTCATAATCCAATAGACTTACTTATTTATTAACGTCCTTTACCCCTAATGCAACATAGGCCTCCGACCAGTATTCACCTACTTACTCCATTCTCGAACTTCCTTCCTTCCTTCCTCCTTATCCAATCGATGTTCATTCTTTTCATGTCTGCTTCCAATTCTCGGCATAATGTGTTCTTTGGTTGTCTTACTACTCTCCTTTTAGGGTTCCAAGTTGCGGCATACATTGGGACATACTCAGGTGATTTCTTCAATGTATGTCCTACCCACCTTCGTCGCTACTCTCTTTCTCAGCCGGAATCTACTCTGTTTTCTCCTACAGTTGTTAGTTGCTGATGGTATCTTACCAACGGATCTGGAGTAAATACCTGTATTTCGCAAATGATAGCTTTCGTGGTTCCCCGAGTCTCCGCGCCACACAATAGAACTGTCTTGACATTTGTATTGAAAATTGTAACTTTGCTGTTGGTTGATAGTTGATTTGACTACTAGATGTTCCTCGATTATGGAAATGCTTCCATTACTCCGCTAATCCGTATCTTTACATCGGCATCAGTTCCACCTTGTTTGTCAATAATGCTGCTTAGATATGTAAAGCTTTCCACATCATTCAATCAAATAACTATGATCAAGATAAAAATTAGGAAAAAGTATTTTTTTTTATTCAAACCAAGTAAATTCACTCCATTTTGTATGTTTCGTTTGATATCGCGTAAAATATACAAGACATCCTCATCATCAGTATAAGGATGTTGGACACGAAACCTCAGAGTGACAGTTTAAGTCAATATGTGACAGTGTAAGCGTAGAGAGCTTGTGAAAACAAATTGCCATTGTTATGAGTATTTGGATCATGAATTAATCATTCTTAGACCAACCATTAGTAACCTAAAAGCGCTGGACGGCCATCACGTCCTAGTATGGGACTCATCAGCAGTGCTCATCCACGACTCCTACTTTCGGAAGCTGAACCCAAATCGATCAAAGTTAGATACTAACACAGTTAGCTGCTGGCTCAATGGTCTGAAGGATAAGCGTTCGCGCCTAAGACCGAAGGTCCTGAGTTTGATTCTCGCCGGTGGAGGTTCGCCGATGCGCACTGCTGAAGAGTTCCATACTAGGAAGAAACAGACATCCAGTGCTTCCGGGTTTCTAATGGTTGGTCTGATAACGATTAATTCATGATTACACTGTAAACAAACAATCTTCATAACTCTATAATGAATATATTCATTTCATAAATCAACTTATTGATTAGCATGAATGGCAGATCAATAGATGAAGTGGTGAAACTTAATCAGTTGAGGTGGTTGCGACATGCGTTACGTATGCTCAACCACCGACTGCCTTGAAGAGCTATGTTTTGTAGTGTAGGAATAGGTTGGAAGAAAGTTAGGAGCGGCCAAACCAAAAGATGGCAGAAATCCATGAAGTCATTGACGAGTGGAATTAGCCATGTCGGTAATTTTCGACTACCTCGTTGGGGTCCGCGAGATGATAATAATCGATGGTTAGAGACCTTGAATGACATGGCTCAAAATCGTTCGCAATGGCGCCAGTGCATTTATTCTTTATGTTCTCTCAAATCCTAATCTTCTGGATACTTCAACACCTCTAGTTTTGCCTTTCTAAACCTATCTCACTGAATCATACTTCATGAATAATATCTTCTAATCCTAACCTCTCTGATTACTTCTAATACCTTAACTACCTCTACTACTAATATTGGATTTGAATTGACAATTACATCTCTGTGTGTGCTGATGTGGTGGTATGGCAACATGAACTGATGTACTCTCATGTACAAAGTTCTACGTTGCATCTGACTGACTGACTAAAGGTTAAGCGTTCGCGCTTGAGACCTAATGTCCTGGGTTTGATTCTCGCCGGTGGAGGTTCACCGATGCGTACTGCTGAATAGTTCCACACTAGGACAAAACAGACATCCAGTGATTCCGGGTTTCTATTGGTTGGTCTGCGAACGATTCATTCATAACGCTATAATGAATATATTCATTACATAAAAAATCAATCAATCAACTTTATTGATTCACATGAATTTCTTCTACATCATCTTTCCAATTTTTTTTTTTTTTTTTTTTGACAGGTTTCTGTTTTGTCAAAAATGAATCATCCAAATATTGTACAATATTGTGGTTCATTTGAAGGTAATTTTATTTGTTAGACAATACTTTCCTGTTCCTCTTTTAACTAAACACAAAAACAATTAGAATCCGGCTGGTTATATATCATCATGGAATATTGTGATCAAGGCGATTTATACACAAAAATCAATAAACAAAATGGTGTCCTAATGCCAGAATCATTGGTAAACTTTTAGTTGACTTATTCTTCTCTACTCTTTGAATTATTATTTTCGGATAAAGATTTTAGATTATTTTGTACAAATTTGTTTAGCATTAAAACATATTCATGATCGAATGATTTTACATCGGGATATTAAAACACAAGTAAGTGTGTGTTTTTTTTGGAATTTAAGAAAATTGTAGAAAAAAATTCAAATGATTGTCTTTTAAAATATATATATATATATATGGCAGGTCAATAGATGAAGTAGTGAAGCTGCGTCAGTTAAGGTGATTGGGACATGTGTTGCAACGTATGCCTAACCACCGACAGCCTTGTTGAGCTGTTTTGCAATGTAGGAATAGGTTGGAGGAAACCTAGGGGCGACCCGACCAAAATATGGCACAAATCGATGATATCACTGACAAGTGGATTGAGTCATGTTGGTAGATGTAGACTACCTGGTTGGGGTCCGCGAGATGATAGTCATCGATGGTTAGAGACCGTGAATGACAACATGGCTCAAATTCGTTTGCAATGGTGCATTGATTCTTTGTGTTCTCTCAAGTCCTAACCTTCAGAATTCCTCATCACCTTGATCTTTCTCTTTTTAAGTTTATCTCATTAGATTCTACTTCTTGAATAATATCGTCGAATCCTAATCGTCTCCAATTACTGCTAATACTTCTGCTACCTCTACTACTCCTACTGCTACTATGAGATTTGAATTGACAATTGCATCTCTGTGTTAGTGTGGTATGGATACTTTATGAAGAATTAGGGGGTGTAAGAAGGATTTGATTTTTGACCAATTTGGTCTCCGGTGCTGTTACGGGTATGAGGGCGGTTGTCACTTCCCGGCTGCCCACACCGTGGAAGAGTGTTTCTTGAGGGATCTAAAAAGGAAGATAGATTAGTGTGACCGCAGAGTCCAAGGGACAACTGTTTTAGGCCAGTCACGCACGGCTTTTTTATGAAAGGTTTTTTGAGTATTAGCTCCGGTCTTAAAAGCCCTTAGTGGGCACGACCCTTACTTCCGGAGACGGAAATCCGTAAGGTAGGGTGAAGTGTGACATTTTTAGGGCCGACCTTTTCTAACTCCTTCCTTCCTTTTGAGAAGGCAGCAACACTGCAGATGCAGGTTGTCCGAGGAAAACACCTTACTGCTGTCACCACACCCCTCCATCACAGTCAGCAGTACGACTTCGCCCTCAGACCTTGAGTAGCTGCTTTTAGTCTCATCGTTCTCCAATCGACCTCTCTGGCTGGCATGGTAGAACCTTCAGGAACATATGTTTCAGCCAGTATATGGCTCGTTTTGGTCATCACGATAGTCAAGCCCGACCATCACGTCAAGGTAGCAGCTACGCTCGGGGGTATGGCTACTTGAACTGATGTATGTACTTGCGTACGTACCAAGTGCTACATGGCTATTAATGATGATGATGATAGTGATAATTATCTCTTCCTCTTTCCTCTCTTTTCTTCCATTTACAGAATGTATTTCTCACCTCAAAAGGACGTTTAAAATTAGGCGATTTTGGCATTGCTAAAGTATTAAATCATACATTGGATTTAGCATGTACATGTATTGGGACACCGTATTATTTATCGCCGGAAATTTGTGAAAATAAACCATATGATCATAAAAGTGATATATGGGCATTGGGGTGTGTCCTATATGAAATGACCACGCTGAAACATGCTGTAATTTGTGTTTTTTGTTCCCCTAGCAATTACTCCTATTTTGGTTTTTTTTCTAGTTTGAGGCGGGTAATATGAAAAATCTTGTGTTGAAAATTATACGGTAATGTTATGTAACTTTTTATTTTTTCATTATATGAGAGTTATGAAGATTGTTTGTTTTTACACATGGACCGAACATTAGAAACCTGAAAGCACTAGACGGCTGTTTCGTCCTATATATAGTATGGGACTCGTCAGTGGCAGTGCGCAATCCACGACTCTTGCCACTCGTAGGAATCGAAACCCAGGGTTATTGGCCTCTTACTTACTTACTTATTTACGCCTGTTACCCCCCAAATGGAGCATAGGCCGCCGACAAGTTTTCTCCAAACCAACTCTGTTTGTCCTGGGCTTCGCTTTCCAATTCTGTCCGATGTTTGTTCATTCCTCTCACATCTTTCTCTATTTCTCGGCGTAATGTACTCTTTGGCCTTCCTCTTTTCCTTTTGCCTTGAGGGTTCCATGTGAGGGCTTGTCTCGTGACACAGTTAGGTGCTTTTCGTAGTGTATGTCCTATCCACTAACTCCACCGCTTCTTCCTGATTTCCTCCTCCACTGGAATCTATTTTGTTCTCTCCCACAGTACGTTGTTGCTGATCGTGTCTGGCCAACAAATACGAAGTATTTTGCGTAGACAACTGTTATTAAACATTTGAATCTTATGGGTGATGGCTTTGGTATTTCTCCATGTTTCCACTCCATACAGTAGAACTGTCTTGACGTTTGTATTGAAAATGCTGATTTTGGTTTTGGTTGAAAGTTGTTTGGAGTTCCAGATATTTTTCAATTGTAGAAATGCAGCCCTTGCTTTGCCAATCCGCGCCCTCACATCTGCATCAGATCCACCTTGGTTGTCGATGATGCTGCCAAGATATGTAAAGGTGTTAAAGTCCCCCCAAGGCATCTCCATCAAGAGTGATTTGGTTGGTGCATGTTGTGTTGTATCGTAGAATCTCTTACTTTTCCCTTTATGTATGTTGAGATCTGCTGCTACACTGGTTGTCTTCTCTTGCATTTCCAATTCTGTCCAATGTTTGTTCATTCCTCTCATATCTTTCTCTATTTCTCGGCGTAATGTGTTCCTTAGCCTTCCTCTTTTCCTTTTGCCGTAAGGGTTCCAGGCGAGGGCTTGTCTTGTAACACAGTTAGGTGCTTTCCTCAGTAGTGTGTCCTATCCACCCACTTCAACCGCTTCTTCCTGATTTCCTCCTCCATTGGAATCTGGTTTGTTCTCTTCTACAGTAGGTTGTTGCTGATAGTGGCTTGCCTTCTCCCTGGAGGTAGAGTGTTCACACTCACTTCGAATTGAGATCATGTTATTATTATTAATAATTAATTCAATAAATAGATCAATAAACTTTTATTACATTTTAAATTCATTATCATCTTTATTTTTTTTCAGTGGAACTTATCCACCTGTTTCAACGAAATATAGTTATGAAATACGAAGTTTAATTTCCCAATTATTTCGTCGAAATCCAAGGTGAGAAATTAATTTCGATTTTTTTCGATGTGTATGTATGTCATAGACTTGCTCCTAGATGTAATCTTATCCTCGTCCGGCTTTTCAGGAGTCGACTTTCTACCTGGAAAACCGCTTACTGACCTAGAATATGCCGATGACATTGTCCTACTTGGTGAAGACGCTGACAAAATGCAGAGTCTTCTGACTACCCTAAGCAACAATTCAAGCATGTTCGGGATGTGGCTCTCACCCTCGAAGTGCAAAATGTTACTTCAGGATTGGGTTTCATCAGCACCTGAACTAGTGATAGGGAGTGAAGTAGTTGGGCGTGTTGACCACTTCACGTATCTGGCAAGTCTCATCCATGCTGATGGCCTGGTGACTGACGAAATCTCAGCTCGGATAAAGAAGGCTCGATTGGTTTTTGCCAACCTGCGTCACTTATGGCGAAGGCGTGATATCCGTTTGCTGACTAAAGGAAGAGTGTACTGCGCAGTAGTTCGCTCCGTCTTACTTTATGGCTGTGAAACATGGCCAGTGAGAGTAGAAGATATTCGTAGAATACTGGTTTTCGATCATCGGTGTATCCGAAGCATTCTTCGTGTATCCTTGGACGATCGACTAAGCAATGCTATCGTTAGGAAACGGGTATTAGGTAAGGATGACAGGTCAATAGATGAAGTATTGAAACTTCATCAGTTGAGGTGGTTGTTGGGTCATGTGTTACGTATGCCTAACCACCGACTGCCTCGTCGAGCTATGTTTTGCGATGTAGGAATGGGTTGGAAAAAGCTGGGGGCAGTCAAACCAAAACATACCACAAATCCATGAAGTCGACAACCTAGTTAAGGTCCGCGAGATGATAGTAATCGACGGTTAGAGACCCTGAATGACATGGATCAAAAGTATTCACAATGGGTGCAGGGGCATTCACTATCTCAAATCCCAACCTTCAGAGTTAACTTCGCTAGGTTATGCTTCTTGAATACTATCTTCGAATCCTAATCTCTCCGATTACTGCTAATACTTGTTCTACCTCTACTACTATGGGATTTGAATCGACAATTGCGTCTCCGCGCTAATATGTTGTGGCAACATGAATCGATGTAGTTACGTACGAAGTTCTACGTTGTAACTGACTGACATCCTGGAACCCAGGTGCACTGTTGGTTTAAAATCAGGGTTTTCCTACTCGCCTCGATGGATCCGCTGTATCTATCGACCGGTAGATTCTATTTTCATCCTTTTTACTTCGTAAAAATCACCCCAGTCAGTCAGTCAGTCAGATGCAACGTAGAACTTCGTACGTAAGTACATCAGTTCATGTCGCCATACCACATCAACACAGAGATATAATTGTCAATTCAAATCCAATAGTAGAAGAGGTAGTTAAGGTATTAGAAGTAATCGGAGAGGTTAGGATTAGAAGATATTATTCATGAAGTATGATTAAATGACATAAGTTTAGAAAGTAAAAACTAGAGGTGTTGAAGAATCCAGAAGATTAGGATTTGAGAGAACACAAAGAATAAATGCACTGGCGCCATTGCGAACGATTTTGAGCCATGTCATTCAAGGTCTCTAACCATCGATTATTATCATCTCGCGGACCCCAACCAGGTAGTCGACAATTACCGACATGGATAAGTCCACTAGTCAATGACTTCATGGATTTCTGCCATGTTTTGGTCTGTCCACCCCTAGCTTTCTTCCAACCTACTCCTACACTACAAAACAAAGCTCGACGAGGGAGTCGCTGGTTAGGCATACGCAACACGTGTCCCAACCACCTCAACTGATGAAGTTTCACCACTTCTTCGATTGATCTGCCATTCTTACCTAGCACCCGATTCCTAATAACAGCGTTGCTCACTCGGTTGTCTCACGATATACGAGCAATGCTTCGAAGACATCTATGATCGAAAGCCAATAACCGACGAGTATCTTCTACTCTCATTGGCCATGTTTCACAGCCATAAAGTAAGACGGAGCGAACCACTGCACAGTACACTCGTCCTTTAGTCAGCAAACGGATATCTCGCCTACACCATAAGTGACGCAGGTTGGCAAAAGCCAATCGAGCTTTCTGTATCCGTGCCGAGATTTCGTCAGTCACCAGGCCATCGGCACTGATGAGACTCCCGAGATAAGTGAAGCGGTCTACACGTTTGACTACTTCACTCCCTATCACTAGTTCAGGTGCCGATGCAACCCAATCTTGCAGCAACATTTTGCATTTCGAGGGGGAAAACCGCATCCCGAACATGCTTGCATTGTTGCTTAGGGTAGTCAGAAGACTCCGCATTTTGTCAGCGTCTTCACCAAGTAGGACTATGTCATCAGCATATTCTAAGTCAATAAGCGAGCCATTTGGTAGAAGGTCTACTCCTGAAAATTCAGACGAGGATAAGGTTATTTCTAGGAGCATGTCTATGATAAAATTAAACAAGAATGGAGAGAATGGACATCCCTGACGGACACCACTTGATGTAGAGAATTCCGGTGACAGTTCGCCATAAGCTCTCACTCGACCAGTGGTGTTCGAGTAGAGAGCTTTTATGAGGTTAATGTACTTATTTGGTACACCTTTCAATGACAGACACTGCCACAGAACCTCACGATCCACTGAGTCAAATGCCGCCTTAAGGTCCTGGAAAACAACTATTGTAGGACGCCTAAATGTGTGTCTGTGTTCCAAGACCTGTCGTAGTGTGAAAATGTGGTCTATACAGCCACGTCCAGGTCGAAAACCAGCCTGGTTTTCTCGAGTCTGCTCTTCACGAGCTTTCGTTAAGGGTCGAAGTATTATTGAGGCCAATATTTTAGATACTATATTAGTTAGACTTATTCCCCTGTGATTGTCACAAGAAGACTTTTGTCCTTTCTTATAGATTGGGACAATCAGTGATTGAGACCAGTCGGATGGGATTACGTCCAGTTCCCAGATTCTACCTAAGATCTCAGTCAACCTAGCTGCTAAAACTGGACCACCATCCTTAAATATCTCAGGGGTCAGTCTATCAGGACCTGCAGCTCGTCCTCGCTTCAGATTTCCTAAAGCTTTTTCAACTTCATTAAGACTAGGGGGACTTACGTCGATTTGCCATTCAGGATGACTGGCGATGGTGGGTAACCGAAGAGTGGCTCGAGGCCAGTTGAACTGATCCCTAAAGTGTTCTGCCCATCGATCCAGTCTCCTGGATTGAGAATAAATAATAGTCCCGTCATTTTCTGAGATAGTCTCGCTTACACTAGGATTCCTAATACCAGTTTCCTTGATAAGTCGGAAAAGTTGTCTACTGTTGCCTATCGCCGCTGCCTTTTCCATCGCTTTTGCTTTCGCCACCCACCACTGTTCGCGATCGTTACGTAGGCTTTTTATAAGTCTGCGCCTAAGTTGACTTCGTTCTTCATCATGTTCAGAGCCAGGTGGGATGAGTTTTCGGGCATCCATCAGATCGGTGGATGCTACTGAGATCCACGGTTTCATTCTAGCCTTATGGTCAACCTTACTAGCAGCTTTCACTGCTGTTTCCACAGCCTTTTTGATATCATTCCATCCTGCTTCCGGATGGGAATCGCTTAAATGGTCGCTTAACTGTCTTTCTAGTTGTTCCTGAAATATATTTTTCGCCTTATTATCATTAAGTAAAACCCTGAGAGGCTTTCTTACGGTGTCTTTCCTACGCCCAGTAAGCTTCAAACAAATACGCGCTCGCACTAGGGCATGATCTGAATCTAGACATGTGCTCCAGAACGAGCGACAGTCCTCTATCGAACCCCTCCATCGGTGGCTGATGGCAATGTGATCTAGTTGAGTCCAACGTTGAGACGACTTTGGAGGTCGCCAGGTCAACAGATGCTTTTCCTTATGCTTAAAGTTAGTGTTTGCTAAGAATAGGCGGTTGTCTGAGCATATTTGCAACAGACGGTCACCATTGTCTGTTCTCTGAGCCGGGACACCATAACATCCACCTAGGTGTCTCTCCTGCTCACTTAGTCTACCTACTTGAGCATTAAAGTCACCAGCCATTATTACTATATCAGAGCGCTTAGCTTTTTGGAGGAGGTTCGAAAGCTTTCTGTAAAACTCATCCTTAACCTCGTCTGAACTGCATTCAGTGGGGGCATAGGCAGATACGACGAAGAGGCAACGGCGATTGTCCCTATCTTTCCGAGTCCTTACTGTCCCGTTTAGTCGGACAGCGCACAATCGACTATCTACAGGGATCCAGTCAAGGAGAGATTGTTCTGCCCTACGACTCAATGCTATGCCTACGCCAGCAAGACCCCGGGAAGCAGCATCAGGGCTACCGGATACACGAAGAGTAAATCGAGCTGCTTCTTTATTTTGACATGATGTGGTCAAGTGTATGACGTGACTCGGATCCTGTATGCGCGTTTCCGAGACGCAGCATACATCGATGGCACGAGATTCTAAAGTCCTAGCTAAGGAAGCCTGTTGCCCTATTTGACACAATGTCCGTACATTAAATGCTCCAACATGTAGTCTAGAGCGAGGTTTAAGGAGACCAGGAACGACGTTTCGCGAACTCGTATCGTCTGCATTAGCTGTACACTGTGATGAATGAATGTGAGAAGAGTTAGTCGTGGAGATAAGAGAGGTACTAGGGGGTGTAGGAAGGATTTGATTTTGACCAATTCGGTCTCTGGTGCTGTTATGGGTATGAGGGCGGTTGTCACTTCCCGGCTGCCCACACCGTGGAAGGTTGTTTCTTGAGGAACCTGAAAAGGAAGATGGATTAGTGTTGGTGCGTGACCGCAGAGCCCAAGGGACAACTGCTTGAGGCCAGTCACGCATGGCCTTTTTATCAAATGTTTTTTGAGGATTAGCTCCGTTCTTAAAGGCCCTTAGTGGGCACCCTTACCACCGGAGACGGAAATCCGTGAGTTAGGGGAGGTGTGACATTTTTAGGGCCGACCTTTTCTAACCCTTCCTTCCTTGTGAGAAGGCAGCATCGCTGCAGATGCTGGTTGTCCGAGGGAAACACCTTACTGCTGTCACACCCCTCTGCAGTCAGCAGTACGACTTCGCCCTCAGACCTTGAGTAGCTGCTTTTAGTCTCATCGTTCTCCAATCGACCTGCCTGGCATGGTAGGACCTGCAGGAACATGTGTTCCAGCCAGTATAGCTCGGTTGGGTCATCACGATAGGCAAGCCCGACCACCACGTCAAGGCAGCAGCTACGGTCGGGAAACATCACCCCGCGTTGTGAGAATACAGTGAGTTGGAGCTCTTTGATATTATCTATTAATGTGTTGTTAAATGAGAACATTTAGAAAAAGAGGAGAACTAACTCTCCTCCAAATTTCGGCTGTACCGAAACTTTGGTGCATGTTGGTGACCTAACTTTTTTTTACATCTAACACTATATTAGTCAATCAATTCATGATTTGATCTCATGCCTTTTTGCTTGATGTAATCACAGTTCTAGTTTTTTTTTTCTAACCTACTTCTGTATCTCTTGTATTTTATACTAAATTTTTTTTTTAGAGATAGACCAAGTATTAATACAATTTTAAAGAAACCATTTTTATCAAAACGTATTTATCGTTATTTAACAGAATCAGTAAGTTAGAAAATTTATCATCAATTTGTATCATGAATTGGATTTAAATGCAAATGATTGAGTGATATTTTTATACAACACATTGAATTCACGAAGAAATACTACATCAGTGAATACTTTGATGCCTTGATCCCGACCGTAGCTGCTACCATGACGTGGTGGTCGGGCTTGCCCAACCTGATGACCCAACCGAGCTATGCTGGCTGGAACATATGTTGCTGTAAGTTCGTTCTACCATGTCAGGTAGTTCGACGGGAGAACGATGAGATTAAAGCAGCTACTCAAGGTCTGAAGGCGAAGTCGTACTTCTGACTGTGGGGGGGGATGTCTCAGCAGTAAGGTGTTTCCTTCGGACAACCAGCATCTGCAGTGATGCTGCCTTCTCACAAAGAAGGAAGGGTTAGAAAAGGTCGACCTTGAAAATGTCACACCTCACCTTACTTCACGGATTTCCGTCTCCCTAGGTAAGGCCACTTAAAGAATGGAGTTAACACCTCAAAAAACTCCCATAAGAAGGCCGTGTTTGACCGGCCTCAAGCAGTTGTCCGTGGATCTCTGCGTTCACGCTTGCAGGTCTCTAAGACCAACAGTAATCCAACTATTATTTCAGGTTCCTCAAGAAACACCTTTCGACTGTGCGGGCAGCCGGCAAGTAACATCCGCTGTCCTACCCGTAACAGCGCACAAGATCAAATTGGTCACAATCAAATCCTTCCTTTATGCTTTGATACAATAAATAATTGAGAGAAATAAACTCTGCAAAGAAATATTCAGTCGTTTATTGTTTATTGATTTTTCGTAATTAATATCATTTTGTGTGGTGTAAATCATCGTCGACTTATCTAAAACACTTATGCTAACACAAGAAGAAGTTTTATCAAGATACGATAGAGAAGTTTTTCAAGGTAGAAAGAAATTCATTCAGGTAGGGATTATTGTACACGATTGATGAGAATAGAATGATAACACTATAAAAATCGAGATGGAGTTTCGTTCTCTGAAAGTCGGATGTTTCGGTCGTATGGAGCTTTCATTGTTCTTCTACTGAACACAGACAGCATCATCAACACAAACTTCAATGTGGAAGTGGATTATTCTAAATTCTTCACGTATGACCCATAGCTTGTTCTATTGACCTCAGTCTTCGTGCGTTTTATTCTCTAAGCTCAAACTGTGAAAAACACAGGATATAGGATAAAGTGGACATCCTCTTCTGCTTCGCCTAAGTGAAAATCAATCAGCAGTCAAACGCCATAACATTTCTTCGTTTATATCAATACATATGGACAATTGTGGACATACATTCGATTGGAACAATGTTGTGAAATACTGGGTAAATGGAACACAAAGAACACTTTAGAGAATTTTTAGAAGCTTAGCATTCAGGTCAATCAGCAATTAACAAACACATTAGAAACAAACATGATCAGAAATCAGATCAAAAAGGGGATACAACGATAGGTTAAAGGTCAATCACAGACAATCCAGATTGAGGTCAACAGAAATAAGCTATGGGTCATACTCGAGGGGAAAGAAATTCAAATACTTCACTTCTATACTTGAAATTTGTGCTGATGACGTTGTGTTCAGTTAGAAGAACAATGAAAGTTCCAGACAAACAAAACATCCAGCTTTGTAGAGAACAAAACTCCATCACCTGAGCTACAAATTTTCTCCACCATCTCAAAATCATAAAACTCAATCAAAAATGTTATTAAAAGGGTAAAATAAGCGTTTCTTCGAGATCTAATGAAACATAGGGTTTAAGCATACCCAGGCTACTGTGACTAAGGTTTCTAGTCGTAAATTAAGATTTTCATCAGTCTGCCGATGATCACAACCTAGACAAGACCAGGTTTATAAGCGTAAACCAATACATATCGTCAAAAATTCAAAAACATCATTTTGTGTTCATGTCGAAATTTTTTTTTCAACTAGAGTTATGGAGATCAATGTTTTTGCATGTTGAAACCATTAATCAATCATTGTTAGATCACCATTAGAAAAAAACTTTGAAGCACTGGACGGCCGTTTCGTCCTGGTATGAGGACTCATCAGTGGCAGTGCGCATCCACAACTCCTGTACCCCGCAGGATTCAAACCCAGGACCTTCGGTATTGTGCGCGAACGCCTAACCTCTGGACCACTCGGCCAAAGGTCGTCGTTGCGGATCCTGGGTGGTGCAGGAATTGTGGATGCGCACTGCCACTGATGAGTCTCATACCAGGACGAAACGGCCGCCTGAAAAGTGCTTCCAGGTTCCTAATGGTAGTCTAGTCTAACAGGGATCGATTCATGCTTTCAGTAATAAACAAGAGACATGATCGATATACATTATCCTTTGTTAAATTATGATGAGCGATGATATCGAATGCAGTAATTGTGGCTGAGATGAACAACCTCAGTATATAACCCATGTAGGAGTAAATGAATGAGAAAATACACTTAAAATTGATTAGATGGCTCACTGATTCGTCATCCAAAGGTGTATAATATAAGTATCGGTGTAAAGCGATACCTAAATATTTATGCTCCAGAAGAATCAGTGAATTTGTGCATATGTTGGGATAATATCCAAACAGTGCCCAAGCAAAAGCAGCTGGTTTTCTTGGCCGGGGGGTGGCAATATTCCGATCCTTTCACCTACAAGGCTAATCCACCACTCAATGAAACATTGGCAGCTTGTCTTCAACCACAGATTCATACACTATTTGTTCCTTCCAGGATCCTAGAGCCCATATGCACCATCGGTATAATATGAGGTTTCTCCTACTCTCTTCAGTGGATCCACCGTACTCACAAACTTAGTTTAAGTCCTGAACGGGTAATACCTCCAAAAAGTAGGAACATCAATTCATTAGTTGTAGATATTGTGAAATGTTGACGTTTGGCCCAGTGGTCAGGCGTTCGCGCGCTAGACTAAAGGTCCTAGGTTCGAATCCTGCCAGCTGCAGGATTCGTGGATGCGCACAACCACTGACGAGTCCCCATTTAATATGAAACAGTGCTGCCAGGTTACTTCTAATGATAATCTTTACAGTGTCAGTCAGTCAGTCAGTTGCAACGTAGAACTTCGTACGTAAGTACATCAGTTCATGTCGCCATACCACAACAGCACAGAGATATAATTGTCAATTCAAATCCAATAGTAGAAGAGGTAGTAAACGTATTAGAAGTAATCGGAGAGGTTAGGATTAGAAGATATTATTGAAGAAGTACGATTAAATGCGAAAAGTTCAGAAAGTCAAAACTAGAGGTGTTGAAGAATCCAGAAGATTAGAATTTGAGAGAACACAAAGAATACAAATGCACTGGCGCCATTGCGAACGATTTTGAGCCATGTCATTCAAGGTCTCTAACCATCGATTATTATCATCTCGCGGACCCCAACCCGATAGTCGACAATTACCGACATGGCTAAGTCCACTTGTCAATGACTTCATGGATTTATGCCATGTTTTGGTCTGGCCGCCCCTAACTTTCTTCCAACCTATTCCTACACTACAAAACAAAGCTCGACGAGGCAGTCGGTGGTCAGGCATACGCAACACATGTCCCAACTACCTCAACTGATGAAGTTTCACCACTTCATCTACTGATCTGCCATTCTTACCTAGTACCCGTTTCCTAATAACAGCGTTGCTCACTCGGGTGTCTCACGGTATACGAGCAATGCTTCGAAGACATCTATGATCGAAAACCAATAACCGACGAGTATCTTCTACTCTCATTGGCCATGTTTCACAGCCATAAAGTAAGACGGAGCGAACCACTGCGCAGTACACTCGTCCTTTAGTCAGCAAACGGATATCTCGCCTACGCCATAAGTGACGCAGGTTGGCAAAAGCCAATCGAGCCTTCTGTATCCGTGCCGAGATTTCGTCAGTCACCAGGCCATCAGCACTGATGAGACTCCAAGATAAGTGAAGCGGTCTACACGTTCGACCACTTCATTCCCTATGACTAGTTCAGGTGTCGATGAAACCCAATCTTGAAGCAACATTTTGCATTTCGAGGGTGAGAACTGCATCCCGAACATGCTTGCATTGTTGCTTAGGGTAGTCATTACAGTGACTGATTAATGATTTCAAGGTCAAGGAATATATCCTTATCATTCAATAATAATTCATCATCCTCTTGCATTCATAATATTATTATTATTATTGATTGATTTATTTGAAAAGGAAATGGCCGAAGAATTTAGTCATACAGTTATTCATCAACATTCAAAACGTAAAAATGATCAACTCTCAACAAATATCAGTATGATCAATAAAAATTGGAAACAACCATTGCAACCACAGCAGCAACAACAGCAACAACCATTTCCAGTAGTTAAAAAGTGTAAATTAAGGTAATGTTGATGTGTGGTGTAGTTTTTTCTGTATATTTTTATAATCCGTTCGATATCTACTTCCAGTTCCTGGGGTAATGTGTTCTTTGGTTTGCCTCTTTTAACTTGGCTTTGAGGATCCCAAGATGGAGCTTGATTCCTGATGCGATCAGGTGATTTCCGTAATGTGTGACCTATCCTCCTCCAGTGCCTTCTCATAATTTCATCCTCTACTTAAATCTGGTTATTGATAGTGTTTGGCCCCACGGTTCATTGGTACCTTGCGTAGACATCCGTTAATAGACACCTATATCCTGCGGATGATGACTGTCATGGTTCTCGAAGTTTCCGCTCCATACAGTGGAAGCGTCTTGAAGTTCGTATTGAAAATTGTGACTTAAGTGTTGGTTGATGTTGGTGTTGGTTTCGAGTTGCAGATGTTCTTCAATTGTAGAAATGCTGCTTTGCTTTGCTAATCCATGCCTTCAAATCTAAATCAGATCCACCCGGTTTATCATTGATGCTGACCAGGTATGTAAACGATTCCATATCTCCCAATGCTCCTTCATCAAGTGTGATTTAGTTGGTGGATGCTGTGTTGTATCAGAGGATCTTGCTTCTTTCCTTGTGTATGTTGAGACCTACTACTAAAGAGGCTGCTGCTACACAATCTCTTATGTGTGGGATAGAAAAGGTAGATCGTCTGTGAAGTCCATATCACCCAGCTGCATCCTAGCTACCGACTGTATTCCGTACTTCCCAGCAGATGTTGGGGTTTTAATGGTATTTTAATAAAGTGCCTTTCTTTCAAGTCTGTTAGTATTTGTTCGTCCTCACAAATGTCATTGGAGAGAGCGTGGAGCATCTTTGCAGTTACTAGTATGTCTGCTTTTAGTGCCTCAGCTGGTAAGTTGTCTTGCGCTTTTGCTGTTGCGCTCTTGATTTGTTGGATAACCATGCTGATTTCGTCAATTGTTGGTGGGTCAATTTCGATTCGGAAGTCCGTGGGTGCGGCTTCGATGTTGGATAGATTTAATGGGGCTGGTCGATTCAAGAGTTCTTCGAAGTTCTCTAACCGACCTTCTTCGCTGTTCTTCAGTGTCAATGATTGCCTTGCCTCCCTTGTTTTTCACTGTCCGTTCTGGTTTACGATATTTTTCAGCAAGCTTCTCCGTTTTATCAAATAGTCGTATCATGTTTCCTTCTCTTACAGCTCTTTCTGCTATCATTGCTATGTCTTCCACATATTTCAGATCGTCCAGCTGCAACCAAGCTGACCACTGTATTTCGTAGTTCCCAGCAGATGTTGGGGTTTTCATAATTCAGTCAACCACCAACGGAAGAAAGAGAAATGGTGAGATTAATCAACCTTTGTTGAGGACAGTACTCACTTGGCATGAGTCTATGAGCTGTTCTCCATGCACGATTTTTCACTGTAGTCCATCATAAGAATTCTGTATGATGTTGACTGTCTTTTCAGGTATACCATAGTGTCGAAGAAACTTCCATAAAGTTGTCCTCTTCACGCTATCGATAGCTTTGTCATAGTCAAGGAAGTAAATGTATAGTGATGAATTCCATTCGATTGGTTGTCCCACTATACTCCGTATCTTGACGATTTGGTCGGTACATAGTCGATCCATATGGAATTCATCCTGTTGATCTCGAGGATTGGCTTCTACGGGGTTTTTCATTCGATTTGACAGCACTCTATTGAATACTCTTCGTAGTATTTAAAGTAGAATGATGCCGCTGTAGTTCTCCTGCTTGTTGAGATCTGCTTTCACTGGTATTTTGATGAAGTGCCTTTCATTCCTGTCTGTTAGGACTTGTTCGTCCTCTCAAACGTTGTTGAAGAGAGCGTGAAGCATCTTTGCAGTTACTGGTATATCAGTGTCTCAGCTGATAAGTCGTCTTGCCAATGATCGAGAGTCTTCCGTCAGGACACTACTCCCGGCTGTCAGTCTACATTAGATAGGTATGCAGTGTTAGTCAGAATTTACTTCCTCTGTATTAGGACCAGGCTCTAAAGTCTGATGACGTATGTCTGTTCTAGGGATGCAAGTCGACCCCCTAAACGTACGCTATTAAAAAGGGTGAGGTATGTTGCGGATGTCAGATTCCCAGAACTCACTTGGAAAAGGTCCTAATTTTGTAATTCGGTTTTGAAATTTTGAATTTTATGTTTTCGCGCCAGAGACGCTCAATTTGACCTTCAACTTGCTTTCCCATTCGGGAAATCCTCAGTATTGTTTTGGTACGTTTGTGGCTCTCACTAAGGGCGTTTTATCATTCTGTAAATAAGCTTGAGTTGTGTGCTTGTGGAATACATTTCTCTACATCTTATCAAGACTTTACTTCTAGTTAGTAGGACCTGGGTCGATCGGATTAGAGTAGCCCATCGTGTTGCTAAATCACTGATTTTCGTTCCGTTTACCGAGTAAGGTGAACTCGTAAATAGGCTGCAAGCATATAAATGTCTCAATGAGAACGGTAGTATGGTCAGCAAGCCATTAAAACAAAGCAATAGCCGCTTATCAGTATAATTTATTCAGCTTTTAGATACTAGATGTATCATAACGTCATCTCTTCCGTACTAATCGACTTAAATGAATGTCTCAGTTCACTAATAGAGTAGTCCTGTGAAACTTGAAATGAAATCGATCCGTACAAATGAACAAGCCACATGATATTTTACTCTTAATCAAAGCTATTTTTTTGAAAATCTTTTTGGTTATTCAGAGACTGGAAGTTGTCTTTATTATGTGATGACAGTCCATGAAAGAGACCTTTTTTAATTGTAGAGTTTTACCAAAAACAAATATATATGCATATATTTTTTTAACAAATACTAACTTATTACTGAAATGGTTTTATTCAGTAGTCAGTCAATAAAAGGCATATTTCTTTACTGAAATTTTTCAGTGAACCAATAAGTTATCGGCCAAATAAGAAATCAGAAAATACTAGTAATATTAATGACAGTAATTCACAAAGTACAATTTCTGAATGTGAACCGAAACGTCGTGAATCAATGATCGATGTGAATCGTAGGAAACATAGAGAGTTGATTGAAAAACAACGAGTGAGTTACATTATTTTTCCAAAGTTATGTAATCGTTATTTTTAGGAAACTACTGTAATATGATGGATTTATTTTGGTGTACATAATCCTTTAGTATAAAAAAACTGTAATCAGTACACACACAAGTCAACTGTTTCAGGTGACTAAGTATGAAAATACGGAATAGTGTGTATGATATAAACACTGATTACATACAGTTGAGATGGCGGAGAAAATTTGCAGCCCTACTGACAACAATTGGTTTGTCACAGTAAGAGAATCTTGATGCTGAACATATAGGACCCCAATAGATGGTTGAACCAGAGACCATCAGGTCCTACAGTAGATGTGCTTCGCATTCAAACCACTGAGTTGGCTATACAATGGCTTACATTTCTAACTTCAATCGGTTCACAATCGGAGGGTAGTTGCACAATGTCAGGAAGAAGCTAAAGTTAGCAATGTAAACCATGAAATACCAACCTGGTGGTCTGAAAATCAAGCTTTTGATAAGCGACTCTTTAGTTCAGTCCACCGTTAGATTTTGGATACGCACTACTGGGAAGAGTACCATACTAGGGTAACAGACAAAGAGGTTAAGATCAGGTGGAATAAGTAGTTTATTTGATACTCCTTATCTTCAGAATTCCATCTACAATACAAGCAAATTATGAACTGTCTTCTTTCACATATCTTCTGATCTTCAACACGTCTTGATCGCATGATACATCCAGATCTAACACTCTTCTCTCTGGTAGTAACTTCTGGTTGATACTCTTCTTCCCCACACCTATTAGCCATGTTGTGAGTAGTATACACCACACAAGCATGTAGTAGCTATCAATCGCTTCTTGCTATTCAATGGTCGTTTAATTAAGATCAGTTCATATTGGAAACTACAAAATTTCAACAACCTTATCATGAATTGGTTACAGATGGAAACATAAACCTCTGTACACCACTGAAATTATGAATCGATCAATGTTAGACCTACCAACAACCCAAGATCTTCGGTTTCGCATGAGAACGCTTAACCTCTAGACCACTGAGCCATCATTCAACAGTGTTAATATTGCCTGACCTCACCCATTATCTTTGGTAGGTAACTGCCTACAGTCAACTGGATTGAACTCCACTGATTTACGACTCACTAGAACTCCGTGAATTTCCTCACGAAGCTAGTCATTAGTGAACGCATTTTTATGGTTTTCATTGTAGGGTTATGGTGATTATTGAGTTTCATTGAAATTTTGAATCGATCAGAACTTGGACGAAGCGACCGTTCAGTCCTGTCAATTTTCTTATAATGGTCTAACAATGATCGATTCATGCGTTCGGTAAAACTCAACCATCTTCACCATTTCATTTTGAAAATTACTATGTACTCACTAGTGACTATCTCCGTAATGAAACCCTCAAAGTTCTAGTAAGAGGCCATGACCAGAGGAGTTCAACTGAGTCGGGTTTAGGAAGTAACTACCGAAGACAGTGAATCAGGTTGCTGAATATGTTAGATTGAATGAACGTAGATATTAACACCGTTGGATGTCGCCGGCTCAGTGGTTCAGAGTTTAAGCTTTCTCATCTGAGCAGTACACTCGTCCTTTAGTCAGCAAACAGATATCTCGCCTACGCCATAAGTGACGCAGGTTGGCAAAAGCCAATCGAGCCTTCTGTATCCGAGCTGAGGTCTCGTCAGTCACCAGGCCATCAGCGAGATAAGTGAAGCGGTCTACACGTTTGACTACTTCACTTTCTATCACTAGTTCAGGTGCCGATGAAACTCAATTTTGAAGCAACATTTTGCATTTCGAGGGTGAGAATTGCATCTCGAACATGCTCGCATTATTGCTTAGGGTGGTCAGAAGACTCTGCATTTTGTCAGCGTCTTCACCAAGCAGGACTATGTCATCGGCATATTCTAAGTCAATAAGCGAGCCATTTGGTAGAAGGTCTACTCCTGAAAATTCAGACGAGCATAAGGTTATTTCTATCAGCATGTCTGTGATGAAATTAAACAGGAATGGAGAGAGTGGACATCCCTGACGGACACCACTTGAAGTAAAGAATTCTGTCGACAGTTCGCCATAAGCTCTCACTCGACCAGTGGTGTTCGAGTAGAGTGCTTGTATAAGGTTAATGTACTTCTTTGGTACACCTTTCAATGACAGACACTGCCATAGAACCTCACGATCCACAGAGTCATATGCCGCTTTTAGGTCCAGTAAAACAACTATCGTAGGACGCCTAAATGTGTGTCTGTGTTCTCCAGGACCTGTCGTAGTGTGAGTAACGAAAATCACAAACCTTTAAACCTCATTGTTGAGTTTTACACTGTTAAAACTGTGATTCACATTATCAACGTACTTATTAATATTATTATTATTATTTTTAAATGTAGTTGGAAGCTCGAAATAAATTACGAGAACAAGGTTGGAAACACTTGCTAGATGATTCACCTGTATGCATTTCACCTGAAGTAAATGAGAAAAATATGGTGAGTGGTTTTTCCTCTAGTCAATGAACTTCGTCTTAATTATTCCGAAAAACGATTGACAATTTAACATGATTTTACACTATTATCTTCAGTATTTAATAGATATGCGTTTCGGTTTCGTGCATTTTTGCAGTCAATTTCAATTGATTTATAGTGAATGTGTTCAAGAGTAGTAGTAGAGTGTCGTCATTTTAAATAATCACTGTCACCAATATTTGTATTTTATGCTCGATTTGTGAAGTTGTGTTTAGAAGGATATGTTTATCGAAAAAAAATTGAAGATACCTTCGAATTTCAGGGCAGAGTTTTGGAGGTTTGTGTTTTTACACATTTGAAATCATCAATCAACCATTGTTAGACCACCATTAGAAACCTGGAAGCACTGAAAGACGGCCGTTTCGTCCTGGTATGGGACACACCAGCTGTGTGTATCCACGACTCCTGCACCTCGCAGGATTCGAACCCGGGACCTCCGGTATTGTGCGCGAACGCCTAACCTCTGGACCACCGGGCCGGCATCCAACAGTGTTAATGTCTAACTCTGATTGATCAAGGGATTTCGCGCAACCTCACCAATTTGTCTTTGGTAGTAGTTACTGTCTACACCCGACAGGGTTGAACTCCACTTGTCACGCACGTCTTCTCAACTAGAACTCCGAGAATTTCCTCTCGAAGCTAGTCACTAGTGAGCACTGTTGCGATATTTTGGGGCAGAGTAAAAAAACACAAACCTCCAAAACTCTGCCCGATGGTTAGGCGTTCGTGCACAATACCGACGGTCCCGGGTTCGAATCCTGCGAGGATCAGGAGTCGTGTATGCTCACTGCCATTGATGAGTCCCATACCATGACGAAACGGCCGTCCAGTACTTTCGAATTGTTGCAATGAAATTGTGACACTCATTGAATAAACTATTTTTGAAAGTGTGTGACGCAACGCTTACTGAATAAAAGATGGGAAGTTTATAGTTGAACTACTCCTAATATGTCCCGATGGGCCTTCCTTCCCATTTCTATCAAATGACTGCTCGTTCTTTTCATGTCTACTTCCAACGCTCAGCGTAATATGTTCTTTGAAGGTCTTCTTCATTTCCTTTGACCTTGAGAATTCCAAGTGCTGGCTTGCGTTGTGCATGCTTTCCTTAGTGTGTGTGTGTCACCCTAACATTTTGTTCAAAGGTCACATCATCTCTAAGTTTATAGTCTCACTGGTTTATAACATACATAATACATATTTTATCCACACTAGCCAATACAGATTTATAATCACGTTGACAATAAAAACTGAGGTTCATAAACTTGCGAAAACCCAGGCGTAATTTACAGACTATTTTTAGCAGTGCATATTTTTTATGACTTGATTTTCATCTGACCCATCTAAACTTTTGAGTCCCATAATCTTTAAACTATTTTAATCAGAATTCATGAATCCAGATTAAAATTCAGTCATTTTAAGGAAAAAACAAATCGATAACTAATGTATTGATCATTATTGCTTCAATCTCAAATATGATTGGTCGTCATCGATGCATAACTGCATGTCCAAGATTGCTAGGAATCAATCTTTACAAATTCAATTTGAAAGGGTTTTTTAATTATCCCGTGATCAGTTTTAGTTGTTTACTTACGTCTGCTGCTACCCCCAATGGAACATAGGCTGCCGACCAGCATTCTTACAATCTACTCTGTCCTGATGGGTCTTCCTTTCTAGTCCTGTACAATTATTGTTCATTCTTCTCCTATCTGTCTCTGTTTCTCGGTGTAATGTATTCCTCGGTTTTCCTCTTTTCCTTTGACCTTGAGGGTTCCAAGTGAGAGCTTGTCTTGTGACTGATTTGGGTACTTTCCTCAGTGTGTGTGTATCCTTTCTACCAACTCCAGCGGTTCTTCCTGATTTCCTCCTACACTAGAATCCGGTTAGTTCTTTTGCACAGTAGGTTGTTACTGATGGTTGATCAGTTTTGGTTGTCAATATAGGCATCTGTTAGGATATTCATCCAATATCCTAAGAGAATAATTGGTCAAAATTATGGTCGTTTTAACTGTCAAAGTCAAATACTTCAATGTTGTCTCTTATTGGTCATCCGGACTGTCAATGTCATTTTTAAATCTTACTTCCTATTAGTCGTCTTAACTGTCAATGCCACAGAATTCGATGCTGTTTCCTATTCGACCAAAATGTATAAATACGCATTATCCGTAACATTTTATGACCACGACGAGGACCAGGGCTCGGTCCCGGACCCCAAGTCTGGGATCCTGATTCTCTTCTGGATTCGGACCTCGTACTTTCTGGACGCTTGTAGAATACAGCTTCTACTTCATATCATGTCTTCTTATTTTTTACTAAATATAGGGGGTTGGGATAATCGGATTTGAGTATGTCGTGTCGCCGGATCCTCGATCCTCGCTTTCGTTTTCCGACTAGTTAAGCTCGTAATATAGTTCAAGTATATCAAGTTGACGTGTTTTCGTGCAGGCGTAACAGCATCTTAATACGGACTGCCTTGATATGGTAGCCATTTTGATAGCTAAACAGACAGCTGGCACTATAATCTAGGACGGGATAATCCAATTCACGCCTCAAATTGAATTAAATCTCATACCTAGTGCACAAATGAGCTTAGTTTCTAAATGAATAATTGAATAGTCTTTGAATCGAACGGTGCTGAGCTTGAGTGTTGTCGAAGTGAGATGCACCATGGATTTCGTCGGTAGCTACAATCTATCTGTTCTTTTATAAAAATCTCTTCCCAAACGCTGTTCATTCTTTTCATGTCTGTCTACATTTCTCGAAATAATGTTTTCTTTGATTTTCCTCTTTGTCTTTGACCGCGGCGATTCCAAGTTAAGGTTTGTCTTGTGACTTAGTTGGGTGCTTTCCTCACTGTGTGCATCAGTTGATGTGGTTGGGACATGCGTTGTTTTGTAGTGTAGGAGTAGGTTGGAAGAAAGTTAGGGGCGGCCAAACCAAAACATGGCACAAATCCATGAAGTCATTGACAAGTGGACTTAGCCAAGTCGGTAGTTGTTGACTACCTGGTTGGAGTCCGCGAGATCTTAATAATCGATGCTTAGAGACCCTGAATGACATGGCTCAAAACCGTTTGCAATGGCGCAGGTGCATTAATTCTTTGTGTTCTCTCAAATCCTAATCTTCTGGATTCGTCATCACCTCTAGTTTTGTCTTTCTAAACTTATCTCACTGAATCATACTTGTTGAATAATATCTTCTAATCGTAACCTCTCCAATTACTTCTAATAACTTAACTACCTCTACTATTATTGGATTTGAATTGACAATTACATCTCTGTGCTAATGTGGTACGGTAACATGAACTGATGTACTTACCTACGATGTCGTACGTTGCATCTGACTGACTGACTTACTGTGAGCTCTATACACCTCCAACGCTTCTTCCTGATATATTCCTCTGCTGAGAACTCATTTTCCCTCTACTATACAGTAGGTTGTTACTGATTGTGTCTAGCCAATGAATTCACAGTATCTTGCGTAAATAACTATTAATCAACACTTGCATTCTCCTACATTAATGATTGCTGTGGTTTTGTGAAGAGGCATCAGCCTCATCACCTCCGAACTAACTTGGCTTTCATCATGACACATCATAACTCTTCTTCTAAATGAAGATCTTCTAACTTTCAGGACAGAGTTTAAATGGTTTGAATCATTTTTCCTGGTTAAGGTTTTTTGTATCAAGTTGCTCTTCTACGAGATTGGGTGGCTAACCACAAACCCGAGCCTCTATTACCCGGGCTTGGGACCGGCAGGGAATCCCAAAGTGTGGGGCCATGCGGAGTTGAATCTTTTCAACGAACAAATCATCTTGTACGAACAACATTTGTAGTGAAGGAGAACACAGGTGGGGGCAACCGAATTGTATTTAACGAAAATTACAGAGTTACTCAGTAAAATCGGAACACCATATCGTAAATCGTTAATTTACAAATCTTCAATCCATCATCAATCCATTGTCTGACATTTCACTATTCATGCGTTTCATACAAATTCCATTGTGTTCTAACTAAATCTTCCTTTCTTGATCTTCCCCCATCTTCGGCTGCCAGACATTATTACGTTGACACTCACGTCATATACTACTTATAAGTAGCTCACACCACACATTTACTTTTTTTTACGCTAGATTAATGTGATCAATGCAAACCCTAAACAAAATGATGTGTATTATCATAAACCAACTGTAAATCATTCCACTGATCAACAATCATCATACGATCTCAGTCGATCGTCGACACCAAGTATGGTTGTAGCTGATGCATTTATGAAATATAAACAAGAAAAAGAGCGTATGCAACACCAACACCAAAACCAACAACACTACCAACAACAACAACCAATGAAATGTCATGATTATGGGAATCATTACAATTGTAAGTATTCATAAATCTTTCTTACTTATTGCAGATTTAAATGTTGTCTTCTGCGAAGGCAGTGGTGGATTTTGTAGCCCTATGCATTCTGTATGCTTCTAGAGAATGAGTCATTAAATGTAACCCCTACTGTAGCTGCCAAATTGTCGTGGTGATTGGGTTTGTCTATGGTGATGATCCGACTGAGCTCTGTTGGTTGAAACATATGTTCCTGTAGGTTTTAACATGCCAGGCAGGTCGATTGGAGAACGGTGAGCCTGAAAGCATCATTTCAAGGTCTGAGGGCGAAGTAAGGTGTTTCTCTCGGATAACTACCATCTACAGCGATACTGCCTGCTCACAAGGAAGAAAGGGGTTAGAAGGGGTTGACACTTTGTAGTGTGTCGATGCATCTGCGTGTTCTTAAGCTCGGTTTATAAATCAGAACATGAACTCGTATTGATGAATACGTTTATTCGGGACACACCACAAAGCGAAGCGAATCGGAGAAGGCTAAGAGCCAACTCTTTAGATTACAATGCGAGAGAATGGGCGAAGCGAATTGGAGAAGGCAAAGATCCAACTCCAAAGAGATAGAGTATGACTAAGAATATATAGTCAGATAATAATAAGACAGACATATGACAAGCGAAATAGGTATGCATACACATGAATAAAAGCGACGAATGATTGACAAGGTCAAATGACAAATGATACAAATCATGTGAGTTCATGGGGATATTAAGAGATTAACATTAAAGCGAAAAGGATGAGTAAGCGCGTAGGCGTAAACAATGCTCAGTCGTACAAGCTCATACAAACCAGATAATAAAAAATACTAATGGTACATATGAGTTGTTGCTATACGAATTGCTTGGTTAAATAAATTAATCGAAATGGCTTAACCAAGTTCGATGTAAGAGAACTGGAATATATGTAGAGGCACTACAACTTAAAATGTCACACAGCTCACCTTAACTCATGAATTCCCATCTCCGGAGCTAGAGGCTTTTAAAAAGTACGGAGCTAACACTTCAAAAACTTATCATAAAAAGGCAGTGCGTGACCGGCCTCAATCAGTTATCCTTTGTGTTCTCCGGTCACGCTCCCAGATCGTTAAGACCAACACTAATCTAACTTCTTTTTCAGGTTACTCAAGAAACACCGTTCGACGGTGTGGGCAGCCGGGAAGTAATATCCGCCATCATGCACGTAACAGCATGCGCGGCCAAATCGGTCACAATCAAATCCTTCCTACACACTCTAACATCTCTCTTATCTCCACAACTCACACTAAACATACTCTCACCGATTAAATAGACTCTATGTAGTGAGTAGTCAGTGATTCAATCTAAACTTCAGCTGTCTGACTTCCTATTTTCATGCCTTGAAGATTACTCTCAAGGCAGTATATGAAGGCAGTGAGTAGGACGTCTGTGATAGTGAGGCTACATATAAGCACCTGGCCCCTCGATAGAAAGCAAAGAAACTGTCAACCTTGGGCGATTTCAGGGTGCATGATGATGTAAGAGAATCAGACAGTTTAGCGTCTGTGAGGAAACAGTCTTCATCATCTAATCGTCAGAAAATTGTCATAAGCATATGACCTCAAATTTAACTATGAATGAAACCAGTCATTCAAGTAGTCAGACACAACATAGAACCTAAGCATGTGAAATCGTCAGAATAAACTCTAGAGTTGTTAGAAGTAGGGAGAGTATTACTGGTCCAACGTTTAATATCTTCGTGAAACGAAGCCATGTCTTCCACCTTCCCTCCAATCTACTCTTACAAAAAGTCATCATCGTTCATCGAGGTAGTCAATGGATTGTCATATACAGAAAACGGAGTTGTCAGTGGAAAGAAAATAAATATTATGTAGGGAAGTTAAAGTGTGATTGAGATGATATTTCAGTATCATTAAAGTTCAGAATTGTCCACATCTAAAAAAGATATTTCTGACTTGCAAGCGTCACCACTATTGTAACTCAAGAATAAACTGTTTGATGCCAGGTACATATGACATTTATTTTAGACAGGGGTTGATTTCGTACCAGTAAGGCAAATGAAAGATGTTTTTTGAGGCGACGTGCCGTGTTTTTATTGCTCGTTGGTCTTATCCAACCCCTTCCTTTACTGTTCAGAAAAGACAAAATGAACAGCCTACTGTCTTGTCGAACTCCAGTTACTTTCTCCTTCAATCAGTTAACTTATTATTATTATTGAGAAGACTGAGGCAGGCGAGGAAAATTGTATTATGCAAATTTACACTCTGAGTCAGTTAAAAACGAAAACATTACATTGAATACACACTATTTTTACACCATCTTTGAGTCGTGACTTCCAACACTCCATCCTTCTTCCATTCCTGTTGTTGCTTCCTTTACTTCCTGTTGGAACTACTCCATTTACTTCCTGGTTTTTGATCCATTTGCTTTCCGTTTTTTCCTCTTCTGACCGTGACACTTCTTTCACGTCCCTTCTTATACTACTTATATTGTTCGTATAAGTAGCACACACCACATTATTATTATTATTTTGTCTTTCAAATCTCTTTTCAGGCGTTAAAAACTCCGTCGTTTTACCTCCGACTCCAACTCCTGCTCCTCCTACTCCTGCTCCTCCTCAACCAATCCACACAATCGCCATGCCTATGCCTTCACATTCTCATGCAGCTGTAGTAGTCGCGTCAGTCAACAATGTGCAAATACCATCCACATCTCAAATGATCAACATGAAACCATGCCATCATGTACAACCATGTCGTCAACAAGCTGTGGTACCACCAATTAGACCGAATGATATTTGTCCTGTACTTTATCAATGGAATAATGATAGCAATATTACCAATAATACAAATACTACTACTACTAATGATACTACTACTCATAACGATTATCATCATCATCGTCATCATAAAAGCAATATCATGAACAATGGTGGTGGTTGTAGTAGCAGTAGCAGTAGTAGTGCTAGTAGTAGTAGTCGGCATAATGATCCATGTTGCAGTGAGAATGATAAATATAATAAAAACGATCCATCTCATTCGAGTACGTTTTTTTTTCTCTACTAAATGATTCTGATGTTGTTTTTTTTGCATGATTGTTAGATCAAACGTTAAAAATCTGCAAACACTGGATGGCCTAGCTCGTCCTGGTATGAGACTGACTGGTCCGCATCCACGACTCCTGCTATTCGGAGGATTCGAACCCAGGCACTTTCTACCTTACTCGCCTAACCTCTGAACCACTTGGCAGGTATCCGACGGTGTCAGTGTCTACTAACTCTGATCAGTCGAGGGATTTTGCATGACATCACCCAATTGTTTTCGGTTGCTACTGTGTACATACCGCCAGACAGGTTTGAACTCTACTGGTCACGTCTTCTCAATAGAACTCTGAGATACTAATGAAACCAGTGAGGGTGAATTTTAAGGACTTGAGAATTTCGGTGCGAAATTCAAACATTCCTTCAAATAATTATTTAATTTTCAAAGTTTCAATCACGAACTAATCTTTGATAGACCATTATTGTAAAAACCTGGGATCATTTAAGGTCGATTTTGTCGTAATATGGGACTCTTAGACCTAGAACGCAGAGATCTAGTCCAGGATCTTGGGTCTTACACGTGAACCTTTAACTTTTAGACCATTGAACCGGCATCGTTCGCAAATATGTCATATTCAGGATCTCTATAAAATAACACAAGGTGATGACGTCATTCATTATGACGTAACCAAATATTAACTGTCATGTTAAGCGTTTGCGCTCAAGAGACCAAACGTTCTGTGTTCGATTCCCGAGTGTGGGTAATGTGGATGCGCATTGCCACAGATATGAGTCCCCTCAATCTAGGACGAACCAGCCATCTAGTGCTTCTGCGTTTCTAATGGTTGGTCTAACATTGATCGATTCATGATTTCAATATGACACTCAACAATCTTCACAACTTTATGATGGAGAAAATAACCGAAAGTACTTAACTAACGATCTGTTTAGACTTTGACTTGTTTCTTACTTTACTTATGTGATAACTGTTCTGCATTTTACCTGTGTGAAATTATATTTTTTCAGATTACTCAATACCGTACATTTCAACTGTACGTCGAAATGAACAAATTACATCGGCAATTAAACAAACAAAAATAGTTGAGGATTTTATCGCGCTTCGTCAACAAGCAGCAAAGAATCGTGCACGTGGTGCTGGTGACGTGACGGGTGTAGCTAGTATACTCGGTGGTTCACCGTTTGTCAATCATAATGAAAGAGGTAATCTATTGAGTATACTTAATGATTTACTTAATTACTTACGCTGTTACCCCACCCCCGAGTGCAGCATAAGCTGCCGACCAATATTCTCCAAACTACTCTGTCCTGTTGTTCATTCTTCCCATATCTATCTCCATTTCTCGGTGTAATGTTATCCCTTGGCCTTCCTCTTCCCCTTCGACCTTAAGGTTTCCAAGTGAGAGCCTGTCTTGTGACTCAGTCAGGTACTTTCCTCATCGTGTGTTCTATCCACCACCTCCAGAGCTTCTTCCTGATTTATCCCTCTAGTGGAATCTGGTTTGTTCGCTCGCACAGTCGGTTATCGCTGATAGTGTCGGACCAACGGACAACTGTTGATGAACGCTTGTAACTTCTGGATGATGGCTTTGGTAGTTTTCCAAGTTTTAGCCCTATACACTAGAACTGTCTTGAAATTTTTATTGAAAATCCTGATTTAAGTGTTGACAGCTAGTTCTTTGGAGTTCCAGATATTGTTCAGTGGTAGGAATGCAACCCTTGCTTTACCGATCCACGCCTTTCACATCTAAGTCAGATCCACCTTGTTCGTCAATGATGCTGCACAGATATGTAAATGTTTTTACAACCTCCAAGGTATCTCAATCAAGAGTGATTTGATTGGCGCGTGTTGCGTTGGTCTATTTAATAATCGCCTACTAAAGGTGAAAACTCCGCCAGTAGAACCTTAGGGGCTACTGCCGGTCCCAAGCCCGGATAAAGGAGGAGGGTTGGACATGGGGTTGGCGACCCCATTCCGTTGAAATCTCACTTGCCAAAAAAACGCTAACCAGAAAAAATAATTCAAACCATTTTAACTCTGCCCTGGGAGTTGGAAGAAGAATTATGACGTCTCGTGATGAAAGCCGAGTTCCCTCGGAAGTCACGGGGCCGATGCCTCTTCTGACAACCAGAGCAACCATTTTTTTAGGTACATGGAACGTTCGTACATTGTGGGAAACTGGAAGACTATTTCAAGTTGCGGCAGAAATGAAAAGATACAACCTCGAGGTGCTCGGCATCAGTGAAACGCATTGGACACAGGTTGGACAACTGAGACTTGCTTCAGGGGAACTGCTGTTATACTCTGGTCATGAAGAGGAAAACGCTTCACATACACAAGGAGTTGCACTGATGCTGTCCAAACATGCACAAAAGGCACTGATAGGATGGGAATCTCATGGACCTAGGATCATCAAAGCATCCTTCAAAACAAAGAAAGAGGACATTACAATGAACGTCATCCAATGTTATGCACCTACCAACGACTACAATGACGACGATAAAGATCAATTCTACGAAAGGCTGCAGTCAATCGTCGAGAAATGTTCACCAAAGGATTTAACGATTCTTATGGGAGACCTGAATGCCAAGGTTGGCATGGACAACACTGGATATGAAGACATCATGGGACGACATGGACTGGGAGAAAGAAACGAAAACGGTGAGAGATTTGCAAACCTATGTGCCTTCAACAAACTGGTCATCGGTGGCACAATATTCCCGCACAAACGCATTCACAAAGCCACATGGATTTCACCGGATCACACTACTCAAAACCAAATTGACCATATCTGTATCAACAAAAAGTTCAGAAGGACCATGGAGGATGTGAGAACCAAGAGAGGAGCTGATATAGCTTCAGATCACCACTTGCTGATCGCCAAAATGAGATTGAAGCTAAAGAAGCACTGGACAACGGGGCAGACAACATCACAGAAGTTTAATACAGCCTTTCTTCGGGATACCGTAAAACTCAACGAATTCAAGATAGCCCTCACCAATAGGTTCCAGGCCTTTCAGGATCTACTCAATGGAGAGGAAGCAACATTGGAGAACAATTGGAAAGGGATTAAGGAGGCAATCACTTCAACATGTCAGGAGGTCCTTGGTCGCAAGCAGCACCATCACAAAGAATGGATCTCTGTTGGTACTCTTGAAAAAATTCAAGAAAGGAGGAACAAGAAGGCAGCAGTGAATGTCAGCCGAACAAGAGCAGAGAAAGTTACCACACAAGCTGCATACACAGAAGCAAACAGGGAAGTGAAGAAGAGCATCAGAGCTGACAAACGAAAATATGTGGAAGATCTAGCAATGACGGCGGAAAAGGCTGCAAGAGAAGGAAACATGAGACAATTGTACGAAACAACAAAGAAGCTCGCCGGGAACTATCGTAAACCAGAACGACCAGTGAAAAGCAAGGAAGGGAAAATAATCAGCAACACTGACGAACAGCGAAATAGGTGGGTAGAGCACTTTAAGGAACTACTGAACCGACCAGCTCCACTGAACCCACCCAACATCGAAGCAGCATCCAAGGACCTCCCAATTAATATTGGCGCACCTACGATTGAGGAGATCAGTATGGCCATCAGACAAATCAAGAGCGGCAAAGCAGCAGGACCAGACAACATTCCAGCAGAGGCAATGAAAGCAGATGTAGAAGCAACTGCAAAAATATTTCACATCCTCTTCAAGAAGATTTGGGATGAGGAACAAGTACCATCAGATTGGAAAGAAGGATACCTCATCAAAATACCAAAGAAAGGCGATCTCAGCAAGTGTGAGAACTACAGAGGCATCACTCTTCTTTCAATACCAGGCAAAGTCTTCAACAGAGTATTGTTAAACAGAATGAAAGACTTCGTAGACGCTCAACTTCGAGATCAACAGGCCGGATTTCGTAAGGATCGATCATGTACTGACCAAATTGCTACATTACGGATCATTGTGGAACAATCAATTGAATGGAACTCACCACTCTACATCAACTTCATCGACTACGAGAAAGCATTTGATAGCGTGGATAGGAAAACACTGTGGAGGCTTCTTCGACACTACGGTGTGCCTGAGAAAATAGTCAACATCATACGGAATTCTTATGATGGATTCAACTGCAAAATCGTGCACGGAGGTCAGCTGACAAACTAGTTTGAGGTGAAGACCGGTGTCAGGCAAGGTTGCTTACTCTCACCCTTTCTCTTTCTCCTGGTCATCGACTGGATTATGAAGACGTCAACATCTGGAGGGAAGCACGGTATCAACTGGACAGTTAGGACGCAGCTGAACGATCTGGACTTCGCAGATGACCTGGCTCTTCTATCGCACACTCAACAACAAATGCAAGAGAAGACGACCAGTGTAGCAGCAGCCTCTGCAGCAGTAGGTCTCAACATACATAAAGGAAAGAGCAAAATTCTCCGATGCAACACAACATGCACCAATCAAATCACGCTTGATGGAGATGCTTTCGAGGACGTTAACAACTTTACATATCTTGGCAGCATCATCGACGAGAAAGGTGGATCGGATGCAGATGTGAGGGCGCGGATTGGCAAAGCGAGGGTTGCATTTCTACAGTTGAAAAATATCTGGAACTCCAAACAACTTTCAAACAAAACCAAAATCAGGATTTTCAATACAAATATGAAGACAGTTCTACTATATGGAGCGGAAACTTGGAGAACTACGAAAGCCATCATCCATAAGATACAAGTGTTTATTAACAGTTGTCTACGCAAAATACTTCGTATTCGTTGGCCAGACACCATCAGCA